TTAGAATTACCATCCTTCAATGCAGCGTACGGAACGCGCCACAGCAGTCCATCGGGAACAATGAGTAGTTCAGCCCCTTCAACCAGGTCAGCCACGGGCTTTATTATGACGTCATACAAAGTGCTCAAGCATTTGTTTTGTTTAACAGGAGGTTGAACAGAGGGTTGAGGAGTGTACTCCTCGGTTTTCTGAACCCCTTTTTCACGGCTCTCCCTCAAATCATCCAAAGATCGATTCTCGCAACTCACTTTAGAACGAACACCAAGTTGTGTATAAACACCGAGGACAAGCGACTCAATGGACTGGCTAACTCCACCATTTTCTAAAACAGAACCTTTGAGTGTACTTCGTCTTAACTGAACTTGTTTTCCTTCGAACACAACCCAAAGATAGACGTCATCTTTGTACACTGCTTGAAAGACAGCGTTTGATGGAATTTTCCATAAACTTGCCGAATCTTTATCGTTTCCCTTAGACTGAAATGTTCCACCACAAAAATTGGATTCCATGAGGTCATTCAAAGCTTGAGCTCGTCCTTTCTCAGCAACAAAGAACGCTTCGTCCATCTTACCTTGTTTCACGAGAACTCTCCACAAAGCCGTATACGCTTTTTGATATTGATTTCGAAAGTTAACATTCCACTCGTCTTTAGATTTTAAGAGTATCCTCAGAGCATTGAATAAGGTTATGCTAGCCTGGAAATGTTCAACGGCTTCTGGCAGTCGACCCAGCGAATTGAAAACGCGTGCCAATAAATAGAGGGCCTTTGCCTCCAAGGATCTGTCTTCGACCTTTTGTGCAATTTTGAGTTGTAGGTAGTATGACTCTTTGGCCTTTGTTAAGTCACCAAGACTAAAATAAGCATTGCCAAGATTGCCATAAGCTTTACCCTCCCCAACTTTGTCTCCTACCTCTTTAGCTCTTTCAAGATGAAGATTTAGGTACTCTATGGCTTTTTTTGAATCACCTAAGGATTGATAAGCATTGCCAAGACTGCCATTAGCTTGTCCCTCTCCATGCCTGTTTCCTACCTCTTTAGTTATTTCAAGATGTAGGTTGTGGTACTCGATGGCTTTTCTAAAGTCTGCTAGGGATTGATAAACATTGCCAAGACTTCCGTAAGCTTTACCTTCCCTATGCTTGTCTCCTACCTCTTTAGCTATTTTAAGAAAAAGGTTGTAGTACTCTATGGCTTTTTTTAAATCACCTAGGGATTCATAAACATGGCCAAATTTGCCATAGGAAGTACCCTCCCCAACCTTGTCTCCTACTTCTTGAGCTATTTCAAGACTCACGTTGAAGTACGCTGTGGCTTTTCTTAAATCACCTAGGGATTCATAAGCATTGCCAAGATTGCAACTAGCACTACCCTCCCCATGCCTGTCTCCTACCACTTTAGTTATTTCAAGATGTAGGCTGTGGTACTCTATGGCTTTTTTAAAATCACCCAAACTCCAATAAGCATTGCCAAGATTACAATAAGCCCTACCCTCCCCATGCCTGTCTCCTACCTCTTTAACTATTTTAAGACAAAGATTGTGGTACTCAATGGCTTTTCTAAAATCACCAAGGGATAGATAAGCAATTCCAAGGTTGCCAGAAGCGTTACCCTCCCCATGCCTGTCTCCTACCTCTTTAGCTATTATATGATGTAGGTTAAGGTACTCTACTGCTTTTTTAGAATCACCTAGGGATTGATAAGCAATGCCAAGATTGCCATAAGAAGCACCTTCCCCAACCTTGTCTCCTATTTCTTTAGCTATTATAAGATGTAGGTTGTTGTACTCAGTTGCCTTTCTAAAATCACCCAGGGAATGATAAGCAATACCAAGATTGCCATAAGCACAACCCTCCCCATGCCTGTCTTCTACCTCTTTAGCTATTTTAAGATATAGGTTATGGTACTCTAAGGCTTTTTTAAAGTCACCTTGGGATTGATAAGCTTTCCCAAGGTTGCCATAAGCAAAACCCTCTCCATGTCTGTTTCTTAATTGTTTGGCCATTTTTAGCTTTAGGTTATGGTACTCTATGGCTTTTTTAAAATTGCCTTGACAGTGATAAGCATTGCCAAGATTAGTATAAGCCATACCCTCCCCATACTTGTCTCCTACTTCTTCAGTTATTTCAAGGTGTAGTTCTTGGTACTCTATGGCTTTTTTTAAATGACCCAGTCTGTGATGAGCATTGCCAAGAGCTTTGTAGGCTTTTCCCTTTAGGGTTTTGTCACCGAGATCCTTAGCAATATAAAGACAAAGGCTGTGGCAGTTTACAGCTCTTCTGATTTCGCCTACACTCAGGAAAACATTTCCGAGTTCACCATAAGCACACCCTTCAGCTGACTTGTCACCCTTTTCTTTGGCAATTTTAGCAAGTTGAATATAGTAGTCTATTACTTTCTTTACGCCACCTGAGCTTGCACTAGCAAGGTTACAACTGATGTGATCCTTGTCTTCCAGGGACTTTTCTCTGACAGACTGAAGTCTCAATGACTTCAAGATCCCATTATTTTTTTCGATCTTTTTTAACGTTAAGGTTACACCGTTTGTATAGCATTACAAAAAAACAAAACAAAACAAAACAAAACGAAAAAAAGTGATTCTGATCACATTGGTTTATGATAAGGAAGGCTTAATATCTGAATAGATAACCCCTTTTTTCCAAACGCTTGGGAGCACTGGCTCGATTTTTTAACTAATGTGGTTTTTACATCAGACGACTGTTTTACATGCTCTGAGCGATAGGTGTGTAGTGGACAAATTGGGGGGAGAATATCGCCACATAAACATTACTAAGCTTGCCTCTTGACGCGTTTCAGAGAGATCATTAACCAATGTACGATATATATACACTGAGTGAATAAATGGGTCTTTAACCAAAAACATGTACCATTTGTGGCAGGGAGAGTATGTCTAGGTCATGGCTAAAAAGAGTATATCACTTTTCCCACTTTTTTAGTCACGTAAAGTATAAGCTTAAAAGTACCCTAGTAAATTGATATCCTTCTTTGTGTTTTCACCCATAAAATGTCGAGTTACCAAATAATTCCATTACCCACGGTTAAAAAGTACAGATTCCTTCAAAGGATACAGCTAATCCCTTCTCGCACCAAGAGATTGTTTCTTCAAATCTCTTCAGTTCAACACAGGCACTGGCGCCTGTGGGAAACAACACAAAGAATTTTTAGTTGATCCTGAACATGACCATCAATTTCACCAAATTTGAATTAAATTTGGACAGCGCATAAGGAATATGCTGGTTAAGTTTCAAACTCAATCAAAATACAAAGTAAAACTTATTTGATATTAACATTTAAAGTTTCCCTTAAGTTCAAGTTAACATATTTAATTTACTTTCTCAATTGTTTGATTCACAGGAAGTGAAGCAAAATAGGATTCGAAGTTTACTAAGAATTTAAGATCTACTCAGACAAGCAGTCTTTTTAGGAATATCATTATTACATGTATAGCACCTGAAGTTGAATACTTGAAGAATGAGTAGTCTCCTGACATGTTTGAGTTAAGTTAGGTCCATCTTCTTCTCAAAACAGCTGGACAACGACTAAATACATATCTGACACCTGATTAACTTTTGCCACCGAGAAAAAGAAAACTAAAACAGTCATGCTCATTTTTTTATTTGCATTCAACACCGACTACTTCTTCATCCCAACTCAAAGTTCTCATCATAATGAAAGGTCAAACACAACGGTCCACAGTAGTCCATTAATTGCGACAAGAGTTAGTTTCATCTATGCTCAGAGTGATGAGGTTGTTTTTTCGTTATATCGCAACTAACATATCTAACCTCTCACAATCGCTTTGAGGAAAGTTGGTTCTAACTCATTAGCAGCTTTTGCATCACTCAGTGAATCCTGGTGATTTCCTGTTTTTAAAATAAAGATATCTAATTAGCTTTACATGTAGCAAACCCATCACTTAAAGATAATTTTAGGAAAAATTTGTGATGTTCATTGATTCTTGGGGTGATAAATTACTTCTTAATTTCTTTGATGTTGGTTTTTACAGAGGAAGGAAAACCAGACGACCCTGAGAAAAACCCTCCGAGTAAGGGTGAGAACTAACAACATACTCAATCCACTTGTGACGCCAGGTCTGGGAATCGAACCCGGGCCACAGTGGAGGGAGGCAAGCTCTCTCACCACTATGCCATCCCTGCTCCCCAACATTCCAAATTCCAATTCGATCTGGAGTCGATTGGTTTTAACATGAGCCACCGGCACGGAAGATCGGGCAACCCTTTCTACATCACGGACTCTATATAAATTGTTTAATATTTAACTCTAATCGATGATTTACAGGCCAAGATAAGGGATATATTTTTTCAAGGAATTGCTGTCTTGGAAATTATTTAAAATCATCACTTTTTTTTGCATCACTCGGTGAATTCGGGTGATTTCCTGTTTTTAAAAGAAAGATATCAAATTAGCTCTACAGTAGCAAACCCTTCACTTTTAAGATAGTTTTAGATAAAACTTGTGATAGTCATTGATTTTGGGGTAAGATATTACTTCTTAGTTTTTATGATCAACAGGCCAACAGAAGGGATATATTTTTACGGAAAATTGCTTTTTGGGCATATCTTTAAAATCATCACATTTTTCAGAAAACCACTAAAACCCCTCAAAAGAACAAAATGCTGTTGAACGTCTAATTATCTCACCCAGTTTAGAATGTGCAATCGCCCTGTTATTATACAGTTTGGCCTTCAGTTCTTTGTCCTTGCAGTTCACTTGAATTCCTTCTGTATAAAAGTGAATAGCATTGAGGAAATCTCCTTTCTTGAAGGCCTCATTACCCTCATTCTTATAAACATCAGCAGTAACTGCAAAGAAGAAAGCAAAGACATGTGTCAATTTCTAGACAGCTTTGTGTGAGGCATACTTTTTTCATGTAAAAGAGTCTACCTTCGTTCTCACAAATTAATTAAGTAACGAACAAATATCGATTTATGGTCAATTCGCCACCACAACAAACTTGTCACCACAAAACTCGCCACCACTCGAAGTCAAATCGCCACTAGTGGTGATTTGACTTAAACGTTACTTGTAGCCTCTCTAGTGAAACTTACATCAAATGAAAGCTAATATGTAGCAGTATACTGCGAGAAGAAAAAGGGACTCACTATTGAAGTTAGGTGTAGCTCTCACTAATGGAACGTTAAACGAAATAACACATGTTGATATCACGAAGATTATGATCAGTTTGCGAACAGCGAAACCAGAGTGTTATTTCGCGAGGGATTTTTGCTAAGTGATTTCCGCCGATATCAATGAAATCGTATGAAACTCATATCATACAAATGTTAAGAAGTGGAAGTGTATTGCGATTTGACTTCGAGTGCTCGCGAGTTTTATGTTGGCGAGTTTGTTGGGGGGGCGAATTGACCGGATACCCCAAATATCAAGTCAAAATGAAACTAAATTACTTTTTCAAAGCCTAATTTGTAAGAGACTTTGAGAGACCTCTAATTTACATTCTTGGGCAAAAGAGTAGAGCCATGCAACAAAAGTAGGATGAAAATCACGAATGAGATATGGACCCCTCGTCCAGCTGTCTCTAAGTCTGTCTCCCTCACTAACACTCCAGCTTGCCTTTGCTAAATGGCTGCAAAGGTGTCATGTGTGTGTCTTTTTTCTTGCTCAACAGAATAAGCGAGACAGCTGGTAGATCAGTGTAACTTGTAACTTTGAGCCAGTGGTTTTTTATTAAAAAAATCAGATCCTAAGCTTTTTCTTTGCAGATCCTCAAGGGGCGAGGTCCTTTGTTGTTCAAATCCACTAATTTGTATTCTGAGCCATTTGCTTTACAAAAATGGATCAATACACATAACAAATGCGCATCTACAAATCCGAATGTATGCTCTCAGCTTTCGTCTCCTCTATGCTTTTGCCCTCATTTACTAGCAGGTCCAATAAATTAATGTACAGAGAATTAAGTGTGTGAAAATTATTTTATCGCAAGAGATCATGGAGTGAAAAACAGGGTGTAACATAAAAGATATGCTCAGTATAGGATGATTTCCAGAACCGTATCACGAGAATAGGTGGTGAAGTCTCTCTTTTGCATCTTTTTATTCAATAAATTCAAGCTAGGGAATGAGGAAAGGTAAAAAGGATAAGGGTCCTTAGGAGAAAGTGAAAATGAAGCCGACCGGAACGACGAGAGAAATTCCAGAAAATTTCGACGAGGAATGGCAAAAAGGTCTCATCCTAAGGAATTAGGGCTATCTCCGCGACTCACAACCGCCTAGCAACCATTAATATGTCCTCTTTGAACGAATTTACAGGTTATTAAAACTTTACGGATTGCCCGGAAATATGATCTGAAGACTCCCAAGATACCAACCCAAAACAAAGTGTGAGGGAATTTGATCTCCTGTAAAGACCTCCAACGTAACCTGTCTTCATAACATTTTGACAATCAAACTGGACAGAAAGATTGCAAAGC